TTTTAATGAAAGCATGTTTGTGTATATATTTAGGTGTACTGTATAGATGAACATTGTGTTGTTAATAAATAAACTTTGGCATATTATATACGAACTTTTTTGTGAATGAACTTAGGAAACTTGTACAAATGTTCAATTTAACCACATATACTATGTGAAATAAATAGACCCTATCGTGTTATATATGAGTTTTTAGTTTTGAATAAACTTAGGAAACTTGTACAAATGTTCAACTTTGCCACATAGATCATGTGAAATAAATAAATATTTTATTGTTAATAATAGACCATATCATATTATATACGAACTTTTAGTCATGAATAAACTTTGAATACTTGTACAAAGGTTCAACTTAACCACATGAATTATGTGAAATAAATGACCACTATGTTGTTAATAAATGGACTCTATTATGTCATTTATGGATTTTTAGTAGTGAATAAAACTTGAAAAACTTGTACAAATATTCAATTTAACTATATGGATCATGTAAAATAAATGGATACTGTGTTGTTAATAAATGAACCATATCATGTTACATATGGTGAATAAACTTGAAAAGCTTGTACTTTTTATTGCAAATAAATGAAATTTACACCACAGCAAGTGTTCTTCAAACACACATCACAATATCTGCACACATTCATTTACAAAAAAACCAATTCAATATATAAAAAAAACAACTTATGATAGCACAGATACAATCTTAAGGTAATACTAATTAAATTTTTATACCCCATCCTATCATTTTGATTTTCCTTTAGTTCTTATTGTGAATGCAAGGGCACTTTACACTTTGACATTATTAAGATACTCTACTACCCAGTACAAAAGGTCACACCTAATGTGCTCGCACAAATTAGCAATGTAAAAGGTCACAAATTTACAACTTAAAGTTCTGATATTTATAGTACAGGTCCATCAATTTACAAGTTAAAATCCAAAAATAAAGTTTAGTGACAACAAGTAAAGGTTCTAATTTTTTACCATCACATGTTCACAACTTTATGTTTATATATTAACATTTAACTGCAAAATTTGTACACTATAAACTCCATAATTAACAACATGCTTTCATTGAATTAATAAGAACATGTACATTAGATCTGGATAATTTCGTGTTATATTAGCCTTCTACTAAAACAAGTACCAACATGAAATTTTTACATCACATTTCATGTCTTGTAAATGCAAAAAGTGAGAAGTTATATTCAAAACATGCAAAAGTTGCTTGTCTTTATTTAAACACAAAAATAATTATCATCTAACTACCTAAAAAATATTAGTTGAAATACTTTTGTATATATCATAACTGCAGTTGTGTTTGTACATTAAAAAAAAGTAGGAAGTTAGTTGGGATATATTGTCATACCATTTCTTGCATGAACTTGCAATGGGAAAAAATTAGTTTAGGAAAATTCCATACACAAAAACCTAACTCTTAGTTTCTACAACTAAATATTCAATATAAATAAGACAATGTTCATGTTTTTATAACACATAATATAATCTGGTGTTTTTAAGATGGTAGTTTCACAATAATGGACAAGTCATAAATTCTACAATTTACGTGTAAACATCTAATATGAACAAGTATATCAGCATATTTCACAACAAATAACCCGCTCTAAAATATCCAATTTTCATATTATATTGTATTATATTAGCAACCAAGTTATATTTATATCAATAACCTTATCACAACAAATCTTATGTCTTCTCCAACATGAACAAACATGCAACTTCAGAACTCAAGCCTGTGGAATCTTCTTATTCACCATGAACGTTTTTTTTTCACATTGAACATCTAAAGAAATATCATAATTTCTCAAAATTATTGAGCAAAGCAATAAGTAATTAAAAAAAAAGGAGACAAAACCTACTTTAAATTTGAGAAACCGGCTCCAAAGTTAGCTTAGTGGAGGATCTCTTGGCAACAATTTCGTAAACTTTACAACATGGCTTCATTAGCATCCTCCTCACTGTTATCTTGAAATAATAAAAAAAAGGAATGAACCACACAATTAATTTTGATATTCCCAATTTTTCTCAAGAAACAAATAGAAGCAGAAAAAGATCAAAAACGCAAATTTGCTAAGGATAGAGGAGAGGGTTATGATATGGTACCATGGGTTCCTCATCAATGTAAGTGACACGGACAACATAAGTGGAAGAATTACTAGATTTGAGGGTGAATTTGGCCATAGTAATAGAAATGGTCAAAAAGAAAAAGAAAAACAAATGTGATCGTTCGTGTTCATTTTTTTTATTACAGCTAATTGAGTTTTTTGTTTGGCTTAGAAATTAATTGCAAATGGGATCCTTGGGCCTTAAAAGTAATTAAATTCTATCTAGGGTCCCTAGGTGCAATTCTCCTAAATTAAAATGACCCATGTTTTATCAAGGAAAAAAAGACCCACATGGCTAGGCATGAACTCTCATCTAAAATTCAAATAGCAACTTCTGTACCCAAAAAAAAAATCACGTAGCAACATATTCCAAAAAAAAAATGAAGTGAACCAATGGGAAAAATGTCATGGGTTTTTTCCCTCTCCCCCATGGTAGTTATGTCATGGTCATGGGTTTTAAATGTTGAAACCCCAGGCTACCAAAAGTTTCTCTTTATAAAAATACTAAAATTCTCAAACCTTATATACTTCTTCCATTACTTGTAAAACCAAACCGAATTGGACTTTGCTATTTCATTTAGTCCACGTTAACTTGGGTGATCTAAGATTAACCTGCTCAATCCCACAAGCCTGGTGGGTTGAGGGGGTCATATGTCCCCAAATTAGCTATAAACTACATTCTTCTACACAAAATAGGAGGCTAGCTATACAAGATACAATCTAGTTTTAAGCCTTTAGATTCTTTCTTTTGCCACTACCGAAGCGTCACTTATAAACATTGGCCATAAGATAAGATAAACATCTCAGTAATAAAAAAACTCTAAATTCTAACATATATAGGCGTAAGCATTTAAGAGCATGTAAAGCAGGTAAATTATAATATTCAATCACAATAAAACATTTAAATATGTGTGATTAATTAATTTCCCACTTATCTCATCCTTATTCTTTATGATTGAGTCCATGAGTTGCAATTCATAATAAGGCCAGTTTGTGTAATCAAATTAGCCTAAGCTCTCCAATATTAGGTAGTAACCTAGTCAAATGTCACTGTTATCTAACTTGGACAATGGACTTTTTTACTAATCAACTTCTTGCAGGGTGTTATAATTAATGTCGATAACACATACCCACTCCTAGAATGAGTAACATCGGCTAAGCCAGAGCTATACCAAACTCTAATTGAAATTGGTACCACATCTATCCAACACTAGGAGCTATTCAAGTGTTGTCCATGCCATGTCGACTTACAATATGATAATCTCCCAACTAAGGTAAATTTGCACCCATTTCATTTCCTAGTCATTCTATAACTTTCAATCATACACCACAATGCAATTTCACATGTCAAGTAATCACAATTTCTAATCAACATATTTAATTCTATCCACATATACATATTTCACAGTGTATATTAAAAAACCTCTCAACTATTCTTATAATTTGCAATAAAGCATATCTTACTTGATTTACTTGTATTTTTCAACAAATTAATGTATACACACTTTATACATTTTCTAAAACATCAAAATTGTATCTACACATAGAACATATATTTCATAATTTTCACAATACCAAATATATTTAAAATATGCATATGAGAGAATTCAGGTTCTCGATTACTTCCGTCCCTTGAGTCCCATAAAAGGAGAACCCATGGATATAATCGAATTTTGAGCACCCAAATGCTCCAAAAAGCTCAAAAGAATATAGTCTATAATTAGACAACTCAAAATTATCAATCCATAACCAAAAATACCATTTTTCTATCTACCCACTTTTGCTCAAAAAATTTCAAAAATTTAATTTATTAGATAACATTTCTATCTAATAGTTCTATTATCTTGATTAGACCCTAGTAAATCTAAATAAACCCAGTAACCACTAACACAATTATCACATTACCCATTTCCAACCTAAGGTTGCTCAAATCAACAAAAATTCAAATAAAATACCCAAATAAATTATGCCCAGTACTCTAGCAACAATAACACACTCCTAACAACACAATTTCATCCATTTATATTAAACAAAATTTCCCCCATATTCAAAGCAACCAGAAATTTAAAATCATAGGAAACCTTAAATCTTCCATCAGCAAAAATTTGAGAATAAAGTGAAAAGACATACTTAAAAAATATTTAAAAAATTTATCTATTTTTAAAAAGTTTAAAAGAATATTCAGAGTATCATGTAATAAAGCTCACCTGTTGAAAATTTCCCCCGTTCTCCAGGTCCAGGCCTCCACGGCTCCAACTTTATTTATTTATTTTTTTAATTTGCGTTTGTTTCGTTCATTTTCTTTCAGTGCTCTTTGTTTTTTTTTTAACTTTCTTAAAATTAAAATTCAAAGAATTGAACTGAGTTTTTATATTTTTGTGCAAATAATATTTCAAAATACTAAATTATTTATAATATGTTAAGTTTAAAAATATATCTTAAATAATTTAATTTAATTTGTTCTATGTTATTTATTTTCCTCCTTTTCTAAAAATATGATTTAAAATAAAATATTTAGAATTTAATCTCACATTAATTCTAATTAATTCATAATTTATTTTAATGTGTTAGTTTAAATTTTTAAAATTTTGCAATTAATGTGACAAATGATGCAAACTAAAAAAGTTTGAAATTTAAAATAATAAAAATAATTAAAAAGATGTATACCAAAACATCTTAAAATTATAAGAATCACTACTAATATTTTCCTTTTAAACTTTGAAATCCCTAGCCAAAGAAATCTTTTTAATAAAAGCTACACATGAATTATCAAATTTATAATGAAATGAAAATAGCTTTTTCATTCCAAAATAGCACTTTTATGATTTTATCTCTTTAAAAAAACAGAAAGAAGCTTAATCTGGCGCCAGCCACACACCAAGACGCCAGCGAACATGTCGAACCTCTCCACTGTTGGCAATGCCACTCTCTTGAGCTACTCGCTTAACTCTCCTCCGTCTCCCTCCCTTTCTTCTTCGAGCTTCACATTCGCGCTCAACCTAACCCTTCAAGCCCAGCGTTACTCTGGTCTCCTATATCTCAATTTCCACAATGCGAGTCCTCTCCCTCCTCTTCTAAATCTTCAATAATTTACAGCTTTAAAGTTGGAGTTTTTGTATTAAATTTATTCATTCTGTCTCGTTTTAAACAATTATTATGCTCACAGTCAACGAAGCCTCTCGGCAAAAATTTCAGGGTCAAGATGTCCTCCGATTCTCAAACCTCAATTGTTGTACGTCCCGCCCTCGCGGTCTCTCGATCTTTAGCTACGCTTTCTGCTTAGTCTGTTTATTTCTATTCCGTTTGCCGCTGAAATGGAGGTTTTCTTGTGTAGTTGGGGTGTGGGTCGGTTTCAGTGGATTTCTTGGCAACAGTTGCTGCTTATCCTAAGCCAGATGACAAAATTAGAAGCACCAGCTTGAAGGTATTTCTTCTTTTCCGGACTTCAAAGGCTTTTGGTTGACTAATTGTTATTCGACGTAGATTTATCGTTTTAAGGTGGATTTTATATGAGAAACTGTTTGTCCCCTATATCAGAGCAGGAGCTATCTTTCTTTTGTTAAATAAAGTATTGATCGATTCAAGCAAGTATTATTCTTTCCTTTAGAAATGCCTCTATAGGCTGTAGGTGTAGTTGGTATCGTTAAATGCTCAGAATGCTAAAGGCAAGAGTTTTTTCTTAACCATCCCGCCATGTATGATTTGTCAGGTTCAAGGAGGTGGCAATGCTGCTAATGCTTTAACTTGCGTTGCTCGCTTGGGCTTAAAACCTAGGCTGATATCCAAGGTTCTTGACAAAGACTCTCTGCCTTCTCTACCAAAAAAAAAAAAAAAAAACAGGATCATGCTCTCTATTTTCTACAAGTCTTTTTTTTATGCATGGAACCTACTAGGCATAACCATTTAAACCTGATTCAATAATGTGTACGTGTTATAAACATGTTTGACACCTGTTAGGTTGCAGATGACACTCAAGGCAGGGGCATTTTAGATGAGCTGAAAGTTGATGGCGTAGATATATCTTTTATGGTGGTAATCTTCGGGCAGTCATGCAATCTTCATATGACTCTTGTTTATATTTTTTGTTTGTTTTTTCAATCTTCTCTGATTGCATGCCCTGCTATCTGTACTGTAGGTTTCTAAGGAGGGCACTTCACCATTCACCTATATAATTGTGGACAACCAAACGTAATTGTCATTGGCTCATTGCTCTCTTAATTTGTATATTTCTTCCCAACATCCCTCCCCTCAAAAGAAAAGAAAAGTAGCAAAAAACAAGAATAATCGTGGTGACCATGCCTTCAATTATAAATTATAAATTTATAATATGATAACCCTTAAGATGGCATTCTTATTTCCTTTCCAAGCTATTTTGTTAATACCGAGAGTTCTTTACATTTTTACTCAGTTTAGGAAGCTGTAACTCTTTTAGATATCCTTATGCATATCTTACACCATCTTGACTTCTATCAATTAGTATTTTGATGACTAAATATAGGAAGTTACATGAATTAGGTGCATCATTCAAGATTTCGTTCACTGTCAACTGCATGATTATGATTTTAAAATAGTATGCAGGGTAGTATCTATAACATCCAAAAAGAAAGTCTCACCTCTTGCTCTCCCCCTTTTTTGTCCCTCAGTTTTTCCGTTCTTGTGTTGTGACGGAAAAAGATTGTCTATAAAGACAGATTGAAACTAGTTGCTATGATTTTATGATAAATCTTAAGATCCTCAAACACTTAATATAAAGTGTAATTTTACAGGAAGACCCGTACTTGTATACATACCCCAGGACATCCTCCAATGATCCCTGAAGAACTTCCTGAATTGAGCTTGTTAGCTGCACTGGATGGAGCAAGAATTGTTTATTTTGATGGGAGATTGCATGAAACTGCCCTAGTTGTTGCACAAGAGGTTATCACTCTTTTTTTTTTTTTCTTGTTGTTCTGATGCCAAAATTTAGATAGCTTAATCATTTTAAAAGTTGAATCATGCAAAGCTTTAGTGAAGAAGTAAGAATTTTTGTATTCTATTTAATGCAAAGCTCTGGTGAAGAAGCAGGGAACTAGTTGTCATTCTGTTCTTAATACACTGTTAATAACCTCATATTATATATTGTAACAACTCATTACGACAATGGTTTGAGATGAGAATCTCAAGGGGAAATGTGTAAAGGTGGCAACAATGCAAGAAATAAATTTCAAAGAAACTGACGTGGAACTTAGTTCTTTCTACTCTTGCCTTTGTTTTCTTTGGATAGTAAAGGAGAGCGAGGATGAAAGAAGGGGGCCTCATCTTATGGAAAGTAAACAAAATCTTATATTTTCCTGCACAGGCTATTCGAAAGGATATACCCATCTTAGTTGATGCAGAGAGGCTGAGGGAAGGGCTAGATGATCTCTTGAGGTTAGCTGATTATGTAGTATGCTCAGCAAACTTTCCCCAGGTAAGTGCATTATTTTCTTTAAAAGTGCTAGTGTTTCCAGAATTGAATGACAATGATGCTTGACTTTCTTCATGAGCGTTGTTTTTTAATTGTTAAATCTGGGACTGATTTTAATGACTTGCCTTTCTATTCTATTCTATAAGCCATTTAGTGTTTTTTTCAACTGAAGAAAGTAGCTCAGTGCTAGCTACAGAAGAAAAAGACTACAGTTTTATTTAATTTTTTATTGGCTTCTTCTGAAATTGAACTATGTCCTCTTGTAGTTGTATACGTGTTATTTCAATTATGCATAAGCAGAGTAGTTTAGTCATGTTCTGTTTGTGAGAAAAAAATTATATTCCTTCTCTAATACTGATGAGATATATTATTTTCCTTTTCTCTTTCCTATTACTTACATAATTTCATATACATAGTGCCTTTCTTGCCAGTTTCTGTTTGTACTCTGTTCAGTGGGGTTGATGTTTTTGTCACAGGCATTATTTTTTTGGCCAACCATAGGCATTATTAAGCATGGATGACATACCTTTCTCTGATAATAGGCATGGACTGGGGCATCGACTGTTCCAAGAGCACTTGTTTCTATGCTTTTACAGTTGCCCAACATCAAATTTGTGATTGTAACCTTGGGAAAAGATGGTTGCATAATGCTTGAGAGAAGTGATAATGGTATGAATGGTCTCCTATTCCTTCTAATGCATTTTCTTTGTTGGGTTTGGGGAGAGGTGGGTTGTGGTAACGTTGTTATGATGAAGAATTTGGTCCTATGCACTGGTTTGTAAGAATTGTGTTTGTGTTGCATACTCCTTGTATGTGTCATTTGCTTCTAAGGCAAACATTTTTTTTCATGCAATATGCTTCTCCTTGCAGAGGGACAATCCTCTGAAGAAGTAGATGTAGACAGCTTACTGGAATCACTGGAGATCAGAAAGAATGATAGTATATCCATCCCAAACTGTATTTCATCGGTAATGACAATGAAACTCTGAAATCTGGACCCTCTTTGCTCTGTCATTGTATTACAGTATTTCTGAATTGTTCTCCAGTTTTGTGAAATTAACACAGAAAATGCTTTAGATCATGCTTGAAGTGAAGTTTGGACATGCAGGAATCATGGGGTTCATATCAGTGTCTTTCCCTACTCAACAGGCACTGATCATGGGGATTATATTGCTCATCACAGTATTTATTTTTAATTTCAACATTGGAGTAAGGCAGTTTTCTCAATGGTGTACCTAAATGAAAAATGGAAGAAAAATTTGGCAATTATAGTTTAAGAAGTATGAGATTGATGATATAAGCATCTAGCAATATTAGGATGACATTCTGCGGAAATGAGTTCCTCTTTGCTGGAAACATGGCCATATGTAGAAGTCCTGCAATCCTCTGCCAATGTTTGACTTGGAAGATACCAGGTCTGAAAGGTCCATCAGTATCAACGTGAAGCAACCAATATCCTTAAGCAGTCTTTGAAGTTGGAACAACTTTTATTTGTCATCACCTATTGTCTTACGTTGTAGCTTATTAGTTTGTTTGAGCCTCAAGCGTTTGATTTAGCCTAACATAAAAGTTCTGAATACTTATTATTTTTCTCAGTTGGTATGCGTGTTATGAAGCAAAAACTTTTTCTAGTTATACATAAGACATAATATTTTTGCCAACATACACACAAGACATAAGAGTATGCCTGATTCTTTTTGTTTTAAAAGCTAAATAAGTGGGATTGTAACTAAAAATTATCGCATGCTTATTCAGGCTTTTGTGAATGGTTTGCTTAGATCTATCTTTTCTCTTTGATCCACTCAGTCAGTGACAAAATTGAAGGCGGATGGGATAGGAACTGTTTGTGGGAGGATTTATTTTGGTACAGCTGAGAAAATACCCCCATCAGAGCTTGTTGATACTACTGGTGCTGGAGATGCATTTATTGGAGCTATTCTCTTTGGTAATTTAATCTATTACTTTTATTCTAGTTCTTTTCCCTGTAGCCTATGAGGTGCCATGTTAGATCTTTATGGGTTGCCTATCATTTTTATTCTAAGGTAAAGGTGTATTTTTGTTTCTGAAGTTTTTGCGAAGGAACATCCAATATCTTAAAGTATTTTGCGTAACATTTTCACCCCTTAAGTAATTAAATTGAAGCATCTGGTATCTTGACATTAAATCCTTACTAACTCTGTCAAAAATTTCGTGTGGGCCCCATTTTCCCCCATTCCCTGTAAGTCCTCCTTTAAGTTGATTCATTCTCTCATGGCTGATTTGTCATGGTTCGTCTTCCTCTTCCTTCTTTATCCCACGGCAACAAGCTTTCATATTTGAAGACCTATTGCGCCATGAACAAAACGCCTATTTAGTTCCCTTTCCAATTGATCAGAGACGAAGCGAAACAAAGCAATCATTGTGGATACCCTTGTTTTGAACTTTCCTGCAGCAAGAGCCAAACCAGAAGATCATTTTGAAACCGCCCATCCCTTCTGTTCTTACATTCTCTTCAAAACTTTAACCACATTCATCCATTCATTCCCTCCTTTCATCTTCAATCTATAAACCATGCATGGTGCAACAGGGGCTTTGAAATCACACCACACCAAGTGGAGGACCAATTCTCACACCTCATTTCCCAAACAAATCCCGACCCACGAATCCTTTCTCTGCCGCACTTCACTTGCTGTAGACCCATCATTTCCTCTATCCTCTTTGCCTCCTCCCTTGATGCTTGTGGCGAAACCGCAAGACCCAACCTCGACATCAACAGGAAGAAGACCAATTTCTCCGCGGCAACCTTGAGAGGATTCAGGTGCACTGTTGGCGCCCCACGGCAGGTATCGCTTCCCGCACTCATTTGAATGTTGGCTGATTGGCAGCAAACCAAAGCCAGAAAAAAGAAGCACCGGAGGAATGGTGCGACAAATAATGCGAGCGGTCAAGGCATTGTTGAAGGTTCAAATTCTGGTAAATTTGATTGTGTTGAATTTTCAAAGTGGGGCCCACAAGAAATTTTTAACAGAGTTAGCAAGGATTTAATGTCAGGATGCTGGATGCTTCGATTTAATTACTTAAGGGGCCAAAATGATATACAAAATACTTTAAGGTATTAGGTGCTCTTCTGCAAAAACTTTAAGGATAAAAATGCACCTAAACCTTTTATTCTAATCTGCCATGCATGATTAAGGTTGTCTTACGCTTGTTGATTTAGCTGTAGATGGGCTGTTCACCTCAACCATAGCTTAGTATAGAAAACCATCCGTTTTCTTTTGGCATGGGGACATATCTACGTCTCCAAAGCAATCCATTGTGGAGGCACCTCACTAAGAATTCCCGATAACTTGCCAGGAGTAGGGGTGGGTTCGACCTTACTGCCTCTATTTCTGTTAAAAACTGTTTTATTTTGCGTAAGAAACTGTCAATTCCCCGCATTTCTCCCTTTCCACATGTTTTCTCTGTTGAAATGGTGATTGGCAATATGTTCTCCAGTCTTTAAACCTCATGAGTTGAACCAAGTCTAATTTCCATATGTCAAAATATGCTCCCTTAAAATTCTTTTTGGTGGAACCTACAACAAGGTCTGCGTTTCGTGGCCACCATCTTCTTTAGCTTGTCCTCAAGATATATGATTAGGGTTTTTCCCCTTCCCTTTTTTGACTCAAGATTTTTAGAACATAATGACTAAGGAAATTCGTTTTTCTCTGTGAGGAAAATGATTATGGAAATTCTTATTTCATTCATGGGAGGAGGTGAAAATATATAGAGAATCAGATGGCAACAATGTTGCCTCTGCTAATTAAAGGCTCAATCCTCTTTCTTCTTCACCAAAACATAATCGCTGCTCCTGAAAATCCGATAGAAAAAAGCCATCAAAAAGGCATCGAAATGCTATGGTCTAAAGTGGGGAAAATGATGTTGACAATCCACATTTTCTGACAATCAAGTAAAATAAAACAACTGCTTGGAATTACTTACTTTATAATTGCTTTCCTCCCTTTCAGCAATCTGTGCCAACTTTTCCCCCGAGAAAATGCTAGCCTTCGCTGCTACAGTGGTAAGTGGTCATGCACACCTGTACTCAACTTGCAAATAATGGAAAAGGTTTATGTGCGTTTTGGTGTCCATTGCAGGCAGCTGTCAAATGCAGAGCCTTAGGAGCACGAAGCGGTCTTCCATACCGTGCAGACCCACGCCTGGCATCCTTTTTGCAGTAAATTTAAGCAGTGATCCTGCCGTCAGCTAATGCATGAGATGTGGTCAGTGTGCTATTTGATTTTCTTTTTGTATGGGATTATAATAGCCTTGTATGACTTGCATTTTTGCCTTCATCATAAGGTGAAGAAACTATTGCCTTGTTCCAGGTTCGAATGTTAGTGCTAAAAAGCTGAAGCAGAATTATAGCCTTATATGGCTAGTCCTTTCTTTTTTTGACCAACATTGTATGACTAGTCCTTGGATGAAGCGAATGAGGTGCTTTCATTTCTTAAGTTGAATGCATGTATGTGAAGCTAGCCTTCTAGCAACATGAATTCATTTCATGAATTAATATGATACTGTTAGCTACTCTATTAATTACTAATTAATACATGAAAAAGTTGATGATTTTCTCCGAGGTTTTTTTCCTCTGCTTCTAATGGATGATAACTCGGGGAAAAAAATTAGATAATGTTGATCAACATTCATTTTTTATTGCTGGTCATCACTGCTTTAATATTTTATTTGTTTGCTTAACCTTTTTAAAATGATAACTTTCAGAAAGAATCTGTTTTAAAATTATTTTAATAAGCCACTTAGAATAATTATATCCTTTAGGGAGAATGACAAATAAATCTTAAGGAGATTAATTAATTCAAATTAAATTTAAAGTGTTAAATTTTAATAATTTTCAAATTCGGTTTTAAATTTTGCAATTTTATTGTGATGATTTTATGATTTATTTTTTAAATTTTAATATGGTTGAAGAATAAATAAATTTGTTTTCTTTGTTAAAATTAAAAACACAAATTATAAATTTATCACAATAAAGTTGTAAAATTAAGAGTTGAATTTACAAATTTTTAAAATTAGCACTTGAAAATTAATTTAAATTAATTAATTCTTTTAGGATCTATCTATCATTACATCTATCCTTTATTATTTAAAGATTTTATGTATCAACACTAAAGATCATGTTTTAAACTTAGACAAACAATCTCCTAATCATTGGGAAAAAAAAATGATACAATTAATGTGTGTATGTGATGACGAAGAGGAAATATATTTTTTAATCTTAGATATACATGTCATTTTTTTTTTTAGCTTTCCAAATGTCATTTTTAAAGTAACAAGATAAACGATCCATAATGAAACTTGAGCGTCAGTACTTGATCAGTGATGTCGCTCCGAAGGCCCCAAAGAGTATGACAATAAAAACATAGGAATTCTTTTAAACGTTTTACCAAAATTATCAATCACATTGTTATTGAACTAACTTTCATTAGCCATAGATCGATATGATTAATGTAACAATAAAGTGGACATCACTAAACTGAGTTTTTTGGCCAACATCTTTAAACTAATGAGAACATCAAGGGATAATCTTTACATTTTTTTTTTTCAAACAAAGAAAGATAACGACGTACCCGACACATGAGCAGTGAACCTTAGCCAAAAGACCGAAAAAGACACGATAAAAATGACATTATGGCAAGATTATCCCCCGAATTGAGTCCCCGCCAATTTGCAGTTGATGGGTTGGGCCCACAAGATAGTCGAGCTCAAGCATAAGTCGCCGGAAGAAGCATTTCACGTTCTCTCTGGCGCTGAATTCTGAGCTGCTGTCAACGACAACCATGTTGAAGCCGCTGTATCTTGTTGCATGCAATGCCGTCGTATTCAACTCACCCTCTCCTTCTCTTTCTCCTTCAATCCTTCCGATTCACCTCTTTAATTTATCCTGTTAATTCAATATCCTTCTCTGTTAACTCTGTCTTTACTTCTATTTTTTTTCTTCAGTCAACGAGGATTCGTTGCAGAAATTTCAGAGCTACAATGTCCTCTGATGCCCCTCCTCCTCCTCCCCCTGAACGCCGCGTTGTTGTACGTCTCGCTCTTATTTCATAGCTTTTTGGTGAAACTGAAATGAAGGCTTATATTTGTATATGTGATATATATATATATATATATATATGACTACAAGAGCAGGTAGGGTGTGGAATGACCACTGTAGATTTCATTGCCACTGTGGATGCATTTCCCAAGCCGGACGACAAGGTCAGAACAACCAGCTTCAAGGTACACGTGTTGGGAAAAAATAATTACTATTGATAATATGATTTTAAGATAATCATATATCAGAGTCACAATGTAATACCTCTTGCTATTGCTTATTGATATGATACAAGGTGTCACCGAAATCAAAGAAAGTTTTGTTAGCCTAAAGGTGTAGTGATAGACTAGAGATTGCCGTCACTAGTCAGGGAACCTTCAGAGAGTATATGTTAGGTTTCTAATGGATACCGTACCCTCATTCAAGCAACTGTCATTTACTTATAGTCCTCCCATCAGACTTTTTTTACTTAATTAAATAAATGACTAATAATATCCCTAAATCTATACCCAGTCAACAACAGACTAGCCGGCCACACTTAAAATATTTTATTTAACTCAAAATGCAATAAATAATAATCAAATATGTTATATGACACAATAAAATATCTAACCCTCTCCCACTTGGCCCGTGTACTCTACATCATTTGTCATGTCAAGGTTTATTAAGGTTCTACTATTTGAATCATGGCGATAAGTCCTCTTTAAGCGAGAATTACCTCCCATGTATTATGATAGAACCCTGCTGAAATAACATAAACTAACACCAGAAAAAAGACAACAGATGGAAGTAATGTGAGAAAATACTGAGGTTTCTACTATTTAAATGTGCTGGAATACAGAATCAGTGTTATAAGAGTCCACTGATTCTATTGAAACCCTATTCCCCTATTACAATGGCAACTAAAAATCAACAAAGCCACAGTACATAAATCACAAGAACAACACACAGGCACTAGCGTTCGAGAGGCCAGACTCTCCTTCTACACTCAAATATCAAAAAATCCATAGAATGTCTCCTCGCAGCCCAAAGACATTAAGGACTCCAAAAAGTGACTTACACATCCCCCAACATAGGCTATACCTCTAGGTAGCCCCAAAACCATTAGTGACCTAGCATTACTTTTCCTTGTCATCAGGATTCATAGGATAAACATTTGAACCAGTGGTGAATTTTTTTTTTGCCCTCTTGGTCTCCCTTGATTTCCTTGTATAGGTCTTAATAAACTTGTCATCTCTATCATTACCCTCCCCTAAAAGCTTCACCTTGTCCTCAAGGGGAAAATTTGGAAATTGTGTTGAGATAATGTCATCTTTCTCCCATGAATTCTCAAACTTAGGTAAGTCACGCCATATCACAAGTACCTCACATTGGCCATTCACAAGCTGTCTGAATTTTCAAATATCTTCAGGCTGTACCTGAAGTTCAAACTCACTAGAAAGTGCTGAGGGTATTGTGGGATTCACTATAATCGTTGGCACTGATTTGTGAAACATCGAGTGAATGCAGGCTGTGGGGGGAAGATCCAGTTTGTATGCTACTGGGCCAACCCTTTCAATGATCTTAAAAGGGCCATAAAAGTACGGGTTGAGTTTCTCATTCACCCTCTTAGCTATAGTCTTCAAGTGATAAGTCCTGAGTTTTATATAAACCAAATCCCCAACTTCTAATTGTACATCCTTTGATGCTTGTCAGCTTGCTGCTTCATCTTGCTCTGTGCAACAGTCAAATTCTCCCTCAGAATTGCAATGATTTGATTCCTAATCTGAATCTGATCATTCACTTATTCTATGGCAGATGGCTCTTCATTCATCATCAAAAAGGAGGGGGATCTCTCCCATACACAGCCTTGCATGGTGTTATTCCAGTGGCGCTGTGATAGGAGGTGTTATAACAATATTCAGCCCACGGTAACCACTGAGCCCACTGGTTCGGCTTCTCATTTGCAAAGCAACGCAAATAATTTTCTAGTCCCTTATTTAGTACTTCAGTTTGCCCATTGGATTTAGGGTGGTAAGCAGAGCTAAGGCAAAGTTGTGTACCAGCTTGCTTAAACAATTCCTGCCAAAACTAACTCACAAACACCCTGTCTCTATCGGATACTATGGTCTTTGGAAAACCATACAACTTCACAATGTTATGCACAAATTTTTCAGCAATATCTTTGGCTGTGAAAGGGTGTGATATTGCCAAAAAATGGGCATATTTAGTAAGTCTATCTACCGCTAGAATAGTGTCATGCCTCTTAGATTTAGGTAGCCTGGTAATGAAATCCATGCTAATATCCTCCCATACCTGTTGAGGAATAGGTAAGGGTTGTAAAAGTCTAGTAGGAGACAAGGCTTGGCATTTATTTTTCTGACATGCATCACATCTAGCCACATAATGCTGGGTGTCTCTCTTCATGCCCTCCCAATACACTATATTAGCCAACCTTTTGTGTGCACAAATACCCTGAATGCCCACCCATAGGGGAAGCATGATATTCTTTTAATAATAGAGGAATGCATGCAGAATTCTTTGGAAGTACCAGCCATCCTTTGTAATGCAAACATCTTCTAACCAAGCTGTACCCTTCAACTCCTTCTTGATTGGTGATGAGCTGCTGCAAGATCTTGCTCAATTTAGGGTCGTTCTGTACTTCTATCTCCCATTCTTCCATTTCATGGTGCTGCCACAATGAGAACCTCATCATTTCTAATGATTCTTCTTGTCTAGAAAGAGCATCTGCTGCTCTGTTCTCCTTGCCGGGCTTGTAAGATATTTCAAACTTAAATTCCATTAATTTTGAAACCCATTTCTGCTGATTCTCCTCCAGAACTCGTTGTTCCAGCAAGTATTTGAGAGCCTTTTGATCCGTTCATATGGAAAATTTTTGTCCCCACAAGTAGTGCCTCCATTTTTTAACAACCATCACAATAGCCATAAGTTCTCACTCATAAACAGAACATTGTTGCACCCTGTTAGAGAGTTTTTGACTATATTAAGCAATAGATTGGCCAGCTTGCATTAACACTATGCCAACACCAGCCTTGGATGCATCTGTCTCTAGTTCAAATGGGGTGGAAAAGTCTGGCATTGATAACATTGGTAGTGTAGTCATTGCTGTTTTGAGTTGTTCAAAAGAAGCACTAGCTTCGGTTGTCCATTTGAAGGCATCTTTTTTAAACAAGTCAGTAAGAGGACTCGCTATTTTTCCATAATTCTTGACGAATTATCGGTAGTACCTGGTCAACCCTTGGAATCCCCTTAAGGACTTCACATTCTTGGGCATAGGCCATTTCAGCATGCCCTCCACCCTTGTAGGATCAGCTTGGACCCCTTCCTTTGAAATGATGTGACCGAGATACTCAATTTTTAGTTGAGCAAAACTGCATTTCTTTAAATTTACTACCAGCTGGCTTTCCTTCAAGCAAGTTAGTACAACTTCTAAATGTTTCAAATGTGACAATAAATCAGTGTTGTATATGAGAATATCATCAAAGAATACCAACACAAACTTACGCAATTGCTCCTTGAACACTCATTCATTAATGATTGGAAGGTAGAGGGGGCATTGGTTAACCCGAAAGGCATCACCTTGAATTCATAATGACCCTCGTGTGTCCTGAAAGCAGTCTTGTGTTCATCTCCCACTTAATCCAAATCTGATGGTATCCAGATTTGAGGTCCGGCTTTGAAAAAATGGTTGCTCCCTTCAGTCATCTAACAATTCATCAATGGCGGGGATAGGAAATTTGTTTGGGACTGTAATTTTGTTCAACGCTCGGTAATCGACACAAAATCACCAACTCCCATCCTTCTTTTTAACCAAGAGGACAAGGCTTGAGTAGAGACTGTTGCTGGGTTGTGTAATCCCAACATTTAGCATCTCTTTGACCATGTTTTCTATTTCATTTTTTTGTAAGTGAGGGTACTGGTAAGGTCAAATGTTCGGTGTTGCTCCCCTGGCTTGATTTCAAGTATGTGGTCCTTAGATCGTGGTGGAGGCAATCCCTCAAGGGTTCAGCAAACTTCTGGAAGTTCTTTCAACAATGCCTGAACTTCCGGAACTAGACTCTTCTCACTCCCTTCTTCGCTGACTAGGCCATTATATTCAATTAGATACCCTTCCCCTTTTTTCTTCATTGATCTTATGAGAGACTTGAGAGTCGTTTGATTCTTGGATAAGGTAGGATCACCCTGCAAACAAACCTTGTCTCTCCTTTTGCCAATCTTCATTGTTAACCGATTCCAGTTCATGTTTACTTCTCCTAATGATTTCAACCACTCAACTCCCAGGACAGCATCTACACCACTCAAAGGGAATGGGTAGAATGTCTGATTTACCGCAAGTCCCTGCATGTTCAGCCTCACACCTTTACATTGTTGCTTCTGTTCGAGCTTGTATCCATCTCCAACTGTGATGGTATGTTCAGCGATTTCATTCACCACAATCTTTGCCTTGCTTACTAATTCTTCTGATATGAAATTGTGAATGGCTCCATTGTTAATAAGAATTACAATAGCTTCGTCTGTGAGTTGACCTCTTACCTTTATAGTGTGATGACTCTCAAACCCGACAATGAAGTTCAGAGATAACTCGATTCTCGCACCTTCCTCTCTAGGCTCACTACCATCATCTGTGCCTTCAGAAACTAGTGCCATTTCTTCATTATTAATTTCAGATTTTAATTCCAAAAGCATCACCTGTAAGTTTTTATTCTCGCAAACATGATTAGGACTGAACTTCTCTGCATACTTAAAACAGAGTCCTAATTCCCTCTTGCGAGCAAGTTCAGCATCAGATAACCTTCTCGTGGACCCACCCTTCTTCATCGATGAAGACCCAGAAGCGCTACTTCCCACCTTCGCGTCTGTGTTCTTCGTGTCGGGTTTCTTTGCAACATCAAAGTTCGTAAAAGAGAACGACGTTGTGTGCTGCGTTTCTGGCATGTGACTGACTTGGGTAAGATAAGTTTGGGTCAGATCCGGTTTAGGCCCAGTAGGGTATTGCTAGAAACGGTTGACCCGGTTTTCTGTGACTTTATCAACCATTGCGTTCCTTTCTTCCACATGAAAAGCCATCTCCATGATCTCATGAAGGGTGCTAGAACTCATAAGCCTTAATTTTGCTTGAATTTTTGGCTTCAACGCAGTCCTAAAAGCACTAATAAGGCTTTCTTTAGGCGCGTCCTTCAAAGGG